GAGTACTACGTTTACTTCATCTAAAAAAGGGAGCGCAGTGTATAATTATATAATCGCTGCTAATTTATCTCTTGATTTGCCATCTCTCCTGAATCCAAAACTGGAGTGCGGCAATTAATTGAAGTTCCTCCAATATTTAATTTAAAAACCAATAGTTATTAACCAAACAGAGAATACACAGTGTGTATTCACAAAAGCAAACAATAATTAATTCGTTACTTACAAACAAAGGAAATGATTCCTATACATACAAACGTGCCACTGTCATCGATTATTAATTTTACCTGCTTCATGTCAATAAACTAAACCGTTACCGAATTACCTAATTGGGATATCTCGTCCAGTGAGTTCGGATAATGCACATGCTGTACGGGTTAATTCAATAGAAAAGATAAGCTGATGCGAATTCAGTTCATAATTAAATCTGATGACGGACATCATATACATACACAACAGTCTCTAGAAATTGCGAAACACGATCCGCAGGTACGTTCATAATACAACATTTTACCAGTTGACATTACAAAACCTCCAACCAATGGCGTATAGACAAAATAATTTGTGTTGGGGTCGTTCTCAAGATATCGGTTAGAATTGAGATCTTCTAAATATGAACTAATTACATTAAAAATATGTTTGCCTGTTGTAAAATCAGGTAACTCCCGACAACATAAAAATTGATTAATTATATCATTTTCGTAAAAAAATCTAACGAATGCAATTAATTGAGGTTTTCCTGTAATATCTATTGTTTCCTCAATTTGTAGAGCAAAATTTGAATTTGCAAGAGTTTTTGCAGTATTTTGCTCAATATTTTGCGGCATATTTTTAATTCTGTAATGGATTGTGTCATTCGAAAGTGGTATTTTGCAAATATCAATATCAACTGATCCACCAATCATTATTTTTACAATTTTGCGACAGGCTGGTAATATAATTTCTTCAGCCAAATTGTGTCTCGCAGTTTAAGAATAATTTTAAGAAATATCTTTTTGATCAATATTCAAATATCAGGCATCTAATATCAAATGTAGCAAAGTCCACTTTTCAAAATTTTTCACTACACAATAAAAACTATTTAAAAAATATTAAGACGTTACATAAAATTAGTGTTTTGGTTTTTAAGTGTGTAAATAAATTATTTTGTGTAAATTGCAGTCAAAATCGCCGTAGGATTATAAATAATATTTTAAATTGGCTATTTATATTGGAGTTTGCTATATTTGTTATTTAAGGTTGGAGTTTGCTATATACGATTTGTTTATGAAAGGAGATTGCTGTTTATGATAGTAAACTGAGGTGTAAAAACATCCAGGACTGTATTGAATACAAAGACAGTTCTGCTTATTAATTAATACTGTGATTAGCAGAAACTTAAAATAAATGTGTTTATATTGTCAATAAACAAAGTGTTCATGGGCGCCGATCAAAAAATTTTGATATCTAAGCATTCATGACAAAGTTTTGAAATGTTTTTCTTGAAATGATACAAGACAAATTTAAATTTACCGCTAAAATGATTTCAAGTTACTTTTTTAGTTATTTTTCCCTATGTAAATCGGACTTTTCTATTCACTCCTCCTAGTTTAAAAACAGAGAATAGTAACGATGATACTATTAACGATGATTAAGAATAAATGGTAAAACAAGAAAGGATAAAAAAACAAACACTATTGTCACAGAATATACACATTATTTACCATTATTTTCCATTGTGCTGTAGAATCTGGAATAATAAAATAAAAAAAACATTAACATCAATAAAACAGAAAACTATTTTATTTTCTTCGAAAAGTTTGGTTAGAATCACTTTATAATTTTCTTTCATGAACTGATGTTGGCATGATACAAGAACGGTACCAAACACCAAGGTGGAACAAACCTAATATTTTAAATTGGTAATTGATCATTGAATCACAAATTGTCATAAAAGTAACATTTAAATGAAATATATCAATAAATGCATCAAATAAGAACATAATTTCCGTTACCCTGTATAACGAGACACAGCACTTTCCATGCTTTCCATTTCCTTAGGAGATGTAGATCCGCTCGTTTAAATTAACAGTAAATTTGTCGCTCTTTTTTATTAAGCTTAAATTCGTGTCACATAAACAGCGTTTCCATCTAATTTTCATGAAAATTAATCGGAAAAAGTCATTCCGGGGAAACATTTCTTATTTCCAATATTGCGAGCTTCTTGTTCATCTATGCTAATTAAAATACAAAAATGCAAAGAAAAGATTACCGTAAAATGGGGTTACTTCGACAGGTTTTAGTTATACTTCGTGCTTTGTGAAGAAAACCATTCTCTTGAGAATCTTGGCTCATGAGTCATTGTAACAATTGAAGCCTTGATTCTTCATAGCAAAAAACAAAAAATCCCCCACCCTCCCCTTCTACCTTTTTTTATTTTTTGTTTGGTGACACCCTATTTAATTCTGCATGATGTCGAAGTTAGATTTCTCCAATTCAACTTCGACACCAAAAAAATTAGAGATCATTATAAATTAATAACCAAATCATTAGGCAACGGGTTTAGAGGCCTAAATTAGGTAAATAAAGTATTAAAACTAATTTTACAAAGTCGTTTATTTTTAAAATCTTTGGTATGGCACATTTTGGCATATGAATGAACAACTAAAAAAAAACATTATTGAACTTAATTAAAACTCAATAAACAAAGTAAAAAAACATAAATACAATGATTTAGAAACAAGTTTGGAACATAAAAACAAAGGCACCGATTTTTAATCGCCGTCGAAACATGCCTAGCATTCATATCTCGCTTCTTTCGAACCCCCGTTGCAATATCCACAAACCCACTTTCCACAGTTTATACACTTGATCCATGCCTTTCTGTTTGTGTATTCGAAGTATTGTATTAAGCAAATGGAACACGAATTGCACGAAGGACATTCATATTGAGGGTCCTTGGAGCCACAATTGCAAATACCGCAAACCCACTTTAAGCAAGAAACGCAACAAATCCAGTCATTGCTGTCAGTGTAAGCTGCGTAAGAACATTTGCACACCGAGCAAGAAGATTCAGAATTAGTGTCAACTTTCGTCTGTTTTTGGTGAGCTCTCGATGGTCCAGGTTCATCAAAATCAACGGTTTTAGTTTTTTTTAGGTTTGATGGAGCGGCTTGCCTTTAAATTTTTCTGTGGTTTTTGCGTAGTGGGAGTTGGTATTAACTTTATGAATTTCTGGTAAGTCCAGTGGTTTCATTGCTGAGTCTGAGTGCGTTGGAGTGCTTGTTCCAACTGGCTTGCATCTGCTGGCCTAGTTTTGTGGCTACTTTCCTTCCCCTTTTAAGAGTATTTGACGGTTCATTAGAATATCCTCTAGCCTCCTTTAGAAACTCTAATAAACTTGAATCCAGCATCCTCTCGGAATCCGTCTGGTCGCCAGGAATTTTTGCTAGAACTCTTTCTGGATTAAAGGGGCTTAACCCTGTTGCCCCAAAGCCATATTGTAGGTTTGTGGCAGCATTATTTGCTACATGGGACCAAAATCGATTTAGCAATTTTGGGAATTGTTCCTTTGGGATGCTTCCTTTTCGACGACATTCCTTTCTCCATGAATCCAGAACTTCGCGCCATTTTCGCTTCATAGGAGCGAAAAAACTCACGTCAAGGGGCTGCATCAAATGCGTTGAGTTTGCAGGTAGGGGAGTCATATAAATATTATTCGCTTGAGCTGCTTCGATGACACGAGGTGAGAAGTGTGACGCAAGATTTTCTCCAATTACATTTTTTTTTTGTTCTGGGGTGCTGTTGGCGTTTATGTGAGGGATCAGGATATCAAAAAACCATTTTTCAAAAGTTGTCATAGTAAAAATATACACCAACTTTTTATTAATTTATTTCCAAAAGTAACGCTTTTTTAAAGTAACGCGGTACTTTTGCAGTGACGCATTACTTTTGCAGTCACGCGTTACTTTTTCAGTAACGCGTTACTTTAAAAGTAACGAAGTTACAATAACGCGTTACTTTCGGAAAGTAACGAATAATTCGTTAAATTTTTTAAAAAACTAACGGTAACGATATAATAAGGCGATAAAGTAACGCGTTACTTTTTTTTAGTAACGGTCCCAGGTTTGCTTACAATAAATACGTACTCTCTAAAAATTAAAAAAAAAGTGTTTGTTGTCTAGAATTTGTGAGTCAAAGTTTTTTCTTTGGGGTAGCTTTTCTGCACTACATAATTTGAAAGTATTGGAGATGGATAATGAATATTTTTTCAATGAGAGAACCACAACAGAACGCACTATAAAAACTGGTTTAGGCGTACTTCTACGCAAATCCAGTATGCATTTCAAATAATTGTAGTAATAGGAACCTGTATCTTGTAATTATTTTCCAATATTTTAATATCGTATTCGACCAATAATTTAAGGAAAGGTTATCTCATAAAATTTTGCAACTTGGATCCTCCCTGCCGAAATATTTATAATAATACATTCTGAGTACAACTCTGGATACCAGCCTATTCCAACAAAAGATAAGAAAAAAATACAAAATTAACTCGACCGATCATCAACGTAGGCGAAAAGGAACTCCCCGAATCTCCACCTGTAATCTTTCAATAATCCTCTGTTGATCTTTTTGACCATGTAGTTTAATATAATGATTTAATAAAACCTTGTCCAACTGCACGTTTTATTATTTTATTGAATCTTTGTTTCGTGCGTCTGACCTTGGACAAAACTTTACAAATCATAACATACTTATTTACAGGGTGTTATATTTATTCGTAACAATAATAACAACAACAGTATTATCAGTGTGTAGCTGAACTATTTTAATCGTCGAATATAACAGAATGCAGCTTTTCAGTAATTTTTGAAGTGCTGAAAATTATTTATTCATTTACATTATCGTACAGCAGCTGTTTTCAATTATTTTAAAACGTGTGTTTATTTTTATATTTTTTAATTATTTTAAAAGCACAAACTAAACAAATAAACAAAATTAAACCAACACGGTCTTTACTGTTAATCAATATTTTCCGTTCCTTGACTGTCTACCAAATCCTGAGCCGAGTCATTTTCTTTAATGCTATTCCAAAATTCCAGCCGATTTTTAGACATTAATTGTCCTAACACCGCGATGATCGCATCTTTCTTTTGTTTTGGTATTCCCCTAACTGGTATGGCTTCAGGCTCCTGCATAGTTCTTTTAAACTTCTTTTGCAAAAAATCCACTGAAGCATAACTTTCCTGATCAATGTAGATCCTTTCTCAAATTTCACTTCAACCAAATCTTGTAGCGAAAATCCACTCATGGGATCTTCTTTGTTTTTTTGAGGTTGTCTTTTTTTTTCTCCCATTTAAGGAACTTATTTACATCAAGTACATAACAATTTTTTCAAGAAGAGGAGACGGCTTCTTTTAATTCCTCGTAATCGTAAATTTGACCAAGTTTCTGTATCCTTCTTTCAATATTGTCATGAATACCGTCCGCACTCATGTGCGTGTGCCCCTTTGTTAGATATCTTAATGACACGGAATTTAAAAATTGCATCAACAATATTATGACCGTCACGGCTAGCAATCCCTTTGTGCCACATTGAGCAATAATTTTTAGTAGTTGGATTCTGCTTTAATGAACAAAATGTTAAATTTAAAGCCACAAGGCGACTTAAAATAGGACATCTTTTACTCCTGGCATAATGGGCAATAGAATAACTTTTTGGAGGCCCACTGAATAAATTCTTAAATTTTAATTTTCTGGCACTAACGAGTCAGCTTTGTATTTGGCAGTTGCTTTTGAGGCCTTAACTTTGTGTTCATTCCATTTTTCTTCAGTGTCAAACATGGATATAGTCCCGTTAGGGTGTTCTCCCGCAAAGGCCTATGGAGTGTAATACAGGACATTAGTAAATCGAAGGTTAAGAAAAAAGAAATTGATATAATTAAAAATAGTTTAGGTAATCCATTGATAGACAAATATGAAATAGCTAATGAATTCAATAACACTTATGCCAATATGGGTAAAAAACTTGCACAAAAAATTAAAATTGATAAAAATTTTACATTAAGGAAAACTTCCTCTCCAAATTCTTTTTTCTTTGCGCCAGTCAAAATCAATGAGGTTAAAGTGATAATTAACGAACTCAAAAATCATAAGGCTACTGGCAATGATAATATCAAAGCTGAAACTCTTAAAACAATTTCACAATATATGTCAACCTTTAACATATATTTTAAATCAATGTATAGTAAAAGCTATTTATCCTTCGGCATTTAAAAATACCATTATTACACCTATATTTAAAAAAGGGGACATAACGGATCCAACTAATTATCGACCTATTTCACTAGTTACGCACTTATCTAAAATTTTCGAAAAACTAATAAGAAATCGGCTTCAATCATACTTGAACAAATTTAATATAATATCTGAACAGCAGTACGGATTTAGAGAAAAAAAATCAACGGAAGATGCTATTCTAAACCTAACTTCAAAAATAACAACTTCCTTAAATGAAAGCAAGACATGTTTGTGCATTTTTATTGATCTGTCGAAAGCTTTCGACACTGTATGTCACAATCTACTCCTAAAAGCCTAAGAGAGCATTGGCATACGAGGTAATTCGTTAAAATTGTTTAAAAACTATTTAAATGAGAGATTTCAGGCAGTAAGAGTGGATGGATTTTCCAGTAGATGGCAAGCTATCGAATATGGGGTACCACAGGGATCTATACTGGGTCCTATTCTTTATAACATATATATATATAAATGATTTGTTTTTACAGGGAAGTATAGGAAACATAACTGGGTTCGCGGATGACACAGCTATTTTCTATTCTGACGATAGCTGGATTAACTTAAAAACTAAAGCGGAACAAGACTTTCTAATTATTAAAAAATTTTTGGATAAAAAATTATTGACTATAATTATAGAAAAAACACATTGTTTACCATTTAGCTGCAATTCATATGGTGCACCACCGTTTGATCACCTAAAAATTACTGATGGCGGAGACTCTTTTTTCATTTCAAATAAAAATAAAATTAAATACCTTGGAGTAATAATAGACCCTTTTTTAAAATGGAACTTACACATATCCTACACGGTAAATAAACTACGCAGTATTTTGTACAAATTCAAATTTTTAAAAGATATTTTACCATTACACCATCTTAAAACCCTTTATTGTGCTCTAGTTGAAAGCCATCTTCGATATGCAATCACTGTGTGGGGTGCAGCTTTGAAAACACACCTTCACTCTTTAGAAGTCACACAAAGGCGATTTCTGAAGTTAATTTATTCAAAAAAATCTAGATATCCTACAGAAACCTTGTATACCGAAACAAAAATAATGGATATAAGACAATTGTATTTTTTTTGCTGTAGCAACAAATATCATGTTCGTAAACCTCAAGGTCTAGTATATCATGAATATAATACTAGACAAAAATGTCGTTATTTAGCTCCATTAATGTTCAAAGTGGTTTCACAGAGATCATTTTCCTATTTCGCACCCAAACTGTACAATATAATTCCTGAGAGCATTCAAACTGAATCAAACTTGTACACTTTTAAAAAAAGACTAAAACAATTTATTTTAGCTAACTCTCGCAGTATGATCCATGGTTATTTTGAAAATTAAACATTATCCCAAAAAAAATGATTGTGCAGGTTTTTAAGTTTTTAAGATTTTAGATTATAGATTTTAAATTTTTGAGTTTTTTATATTAAAATATTAAAATAAAAAATTCTAATATAATTTATAGCACCTACATTATGTTATATTTTTAATTTATTTATGTTTAAATCGATTTTAGTAATTTATGAAACTTTTAAATATTATTTTAGATTTTAAATATATTTCTTTTGTTTTTTCGAAACAAGCGTTTATACGCTTATCGAGTATGTTTTATTCACAGATACCGTTTTTTAAATTTGTATAATACTTTGTAATTGTAATTATTATTGTATTTTTTTGTGAATAAATTATTATTATTATATTATTATTATAATTGATATTTTGTAGGTCTCACAGTCAACACACACATCAGACTTGGGCATGCGCAAAGACACATGCATGGATTTCAGTGTTGTTCTATAGGTTTCGAGTTTACAAAATCCTGGGAGTTTTTGAAATAAAATCGCTGTATATTGCTTTAACAGTAAGATCTCGAGGCAAGTATCGCATATTGGGAGCAATATGACGTCTGTAATGGCTAACAGAAGGTTTGTAACTATTAATATGTAAGTACAGTGCGATCTAGTACTCTTTCAGGATTGGAAATTCCTCTATTTTCTCTTATCATATTTAGAAGAGGTTCTCTTTTGATAGCCGCACACAATTCCTTTATTACAGAGTCATTGCTTTATCCCAAAGTGTTTAAGAAAAATCTTCTACAAACATAGACACTTTGATTATTTTTGGGTAAGAAAAACTTTCGGCTATAGGCTTTTAAAAAGTGTTCATCTGGAGCCTTTGTTACGGTTCTTCGTTGAATTTGTACTATTTGGACATTCTTTGCAAGCCATTTTCGTCGGTCACAATATTTAAGTGAACAATAATTTTCCCAAAAGTATACTCTGTCTGCATCCACGAACAAGGACGAACACTTTTTCTTACACGACTCAGGACAGCTCGGTCTCATAACATGTTTAAGTTTATCGCGTTTCACTTTCTCTGCATGACTTAGACGATTACTTCTTTTTTCATTCTTGGTCCTTCTTTTTTATAACAGGTTCTTAAGTAGTTTTGAAAGAGTAAAACCAAATTTGGTAGATTTTCACACTTTTATTTTAAAAATAAAATTTTTTTTAAAAATTAAAAAAAAAAAAAAAAAAAAAAAAACACTAACATGACATATGTTTCGAAGTACAACTTTTTTTTCAAATGTGACTATTTACAATTCGGTATCCAATATATATACGAAATAATTTAACAAAACAAAATACTTAAGAAAACATCAATAACATTACAAAATAAACTAACTATTTAAAGTAAATAAGGGTACTTAGGTAATTATAATATCCATCAGATAACAATAAGATAGCCCATTACCGGGATTATCTCACAGAAAACTGGGAAAGAGATTTAATAAGGATGAATTATTAATATCTAATTGATCATTTAGTAAGTTATCTGAATTTTTAAATCTATTTATTTCAAGTGTTTCTAAATGGTTTAATTTAAGGCTCTTATTTTCTACATGTAAAATTTCAAAGTTGTCTGTAAAAGAATTATTTTCAGCTAAAATATGATTTGAGTAAGTAGAATTATTTTTGTTTTTTGTATAGCTATTATAATGTTCGGAATAGCGTTTTTTGAAAGTACGGCCTGTTTGACCAATATACAATTTTGGACAACTACCACAATTTAATTTATATACCCCCGATTTATTATTAGGATTAATTCTACCCTTATTGTTTTTAATATACTTCCCAAGCGTATTATTGGTTTTAAAAGCTACGTTAATATTTTGGTTTTTTAAATATGATGATACCTTTTCACTAGGAGCTCCTATATATGTAAGACTCTTATATCTGCAATTTCGATCTTTAATTATGGGATAAATTTGTTGAATAGCCTGTTTAAAAAGTTTTTTCTCTAAAATGTTGTCTACTAACTTTGAATTAAAATTATTATTTACTGCGATTTGTTTAATGATATTTAATTCTTTTGTGAAGTTCTCTTTGGTAAGGGGAATATTAACTAATCTATGGATCATACTGTTGTATGCTGCCAGCTTTTGTTTGTATGGATAAGATGAACTATTATTTATTGTAATATCCGTATGTGATGGCTTATGAAATATCCCAAAACTATGGCCTTTATTATTTTTAATAATATTTAAGTCTAAAAAATTAATTGAATTATCCTTCTCTGTTTCCATAGTAAATTTAATATTAGGGTGTATAGTATTGATAAAAACTAATAAAGAATTTAACTGTCTACTAGTACCAGTAAAAGCAGTCAATATATCATCAACATATCTATGCCAATACAGACAATGTTTACTTAAATTATTGCTATGAATTTTATTTTCTATATTATCCATAAATATTTCTGCAAGCAACGGGCTTAATGGGTTCCCCATAATAAGACCTTTATTTGCTGAGTAGATGTTATTTTGAAATTGAAAATAATTTTGTTTTAGGCAAATGTTTAACATTGACTTTGATTTTAATTTTTCCTGTTGTCTAATAAATTTTTTATGAATAATTTGACTAATCTGCTCCCTAATGTTTTTATCTACAATTTCAAATTCTATCAAATGTAATCTGTGAGATAATTCAGCATGTATTACCTTAGTGTATATGTTGAATCACTTATTTTTAAAAAATCCATAATAACTAAACAAAAATCAGAACAGAACACAAATAAAATATCGGATCATACATTTTTTAAAAGATTTGTTAACTTAACCACCACAAATTTCTCTGATCCAGAACAATCTCTAATAGAAAAAGGGTTTAAACACAACATCGAACCTAAGATAAATACTTCGAACTTATAAATTTTGGGAATAGAAACAGAAATTGCTTTAAAAGATTCATATAATACTTTGTCTCACAAATATCATACTGCAAATATAATTAAAACACAATTTTTACGTAATAACAATTCAAATCAAGACAGTAAGTTAATTAAAACTATAAAGGATAAAACAAAACAGGATGATATCATTTTCACTCGTGCCGATAAGGGAAATACAGTAATTGCTATTAATAATATAGATTATATTGACAAAACTCTTTCATTTTTACAAGCAAGCAATAATTATAGCATACTCAAATTTGATCCAACAGATAAATATCAAAAAGAACTAAAACGTAATATTCAGGATTCAACAGCAATTTTTGATTCTAGAGAAAAATTCAAACTAATACAAATGAACCCTCAACCACCACAACTTTATTCTTTAATAAAATTACACAAAGAGAACTATCCTATTAGACCAGTTGTGTCATTTGTCACGCTCCATCAGTTAAACTTTCACACACATTAATTAAACTTATACAAGAAAACTGCAAATTCAATTCAAAGTATAGTATAAAAAATTCTTATGAATTAACAGAAAAATTAAAAAACATTAAATTACCTAGTAACACAAAATTAGTATCGTTCGATGTAACAAACTTATTTCCTAGTATACCTCCTAAAGAAACAGTTAAGCTAGTAGAAAACTTATTAGATCGTAATCAAGTCAATATTATAATCAAAGAAGAAATCCTAAATTTGTTAAACATTTGCCTAAAACAAAATTATTTTCAATTTCAAAATAACATCTACTCAGCAGAGAAGGATAATTCAATTAATTTTTTAGACTTAAATATTATTAAAAATAATAAAGGCCATAGTTTTGGGATATTTCATGAGCCATCACTTACGGATATTACAATAAATAATAGTTCATCTCATCCATACAAACAAAAGCTGGCAGCATACAACAGTATGATCCATAGATTAGTTAATATTCCCCTTACCAAAGAGAACTTCACAAAAGAATTAAATATCATTAAACAAATCGCAGTAAATAATAATTTTAATTCAAAGTTAGTAGACAACATTTTAGAGAAAAAACTTTTTAAACAGGCTATTCAACAAGTTTATCCCATAATTAAAGATCCAAATTGCAGATATAAGAGTCTTACATATAGGAGCTCCTAGTGAAAAGGTATCATCATATTTGAAAAACCAAAATATTAACGTAGCTTTTAAAACCAATAATACGCTTGGGAAGTATATTAAAAACATTAAGGGTAAAATTAATCCTAATAATAAATCGGGGGTATATAAATTAAATTGTGGTAGTTGTCCAAAATTGTATATTGGTCAAACAGGCCGTACTTTCAAAAAACGCTATTCCGAACATTATAATAGCTATACAAAAAACAAAAATAATTCTACTTACTCAAATCATATTTTAGCTGAAAATCATTCTTTTACAGACAACTTTGAAATTTTACATGTAGAAAATAAGAGCCTTAAATTAAACCATTTAGAAACACTTAAAATAAATAGATTTAAAAATTCAGATAACTTACTAAATGATCAATTAGATATTAATAATTCACCCTTATTAAATCTCTTTCCCAGTTTTCTGTGAGATAATCCCGGTAATGGGCTATCTTATTGTTATCTGATGGATATTATAATTACCTAAGTACCCTTATTTACTTTAAATAGTTAGTTTATTTTGTAATGTTATTGATGTTTTCTTAAGTACTTTGTTTTGTTAAATTATTTCGTATATATATTGGATACCGAATTGTAAATAGTCACATTTGAAAAAGAAGTTGTACTTCGAAACATATGTCATGTTAGTGTTTTTTTTTTTAAATTTTTAAAAAAAATTTTATTTTTAAAATAAAAGTGTGAAAATCTACCAAATTTGGTTTTACTCTTTCAAAATTAAATGGATTTTCATCAAGTAAAGGCCGAAACAATAAATAATCTTGAGTAGTTCTTTCCTGAGTATGTAAATTTATTGCTTCGGTACCTATTTGATTTGCCTCACCATGAAATTCAGGTGCAGCAGATTGTGACTCCTCCGTCTGCCCTTCTTCTAAGAGATCCGAGTTAAAGCTTTCGAATGATTCGTCGATAGAGATGCGAGTTTTCTCTACCTCCATAACAAAATCTAGATTCGCAACACTGTCATCGCTAAAGGTTGTAATTATTGTTTCATCATCTTCGGCAGAATGGATAGGATCAATTTCGTATTGTATTTCCCTAAAAAAAAAAAAACAAAACAAATTAATTCATGCCTACTACAAACAATAATAAACTCCTTGGGGAAAATATATTCTGGTAAGGGGTTTAATAGTTTGACACTTGCCAGAAAAAGGTTGCTTGCGGAGCTTAATGTTAAACCCTCCCTAAAAATTCTGCGAATTTATTAACGTAGGAAGGTACTATAAATAGGAAAATAATAAGAAATATCTGTCTAAAAAAAGAGGGGGTTTCCATAAATTGGGACACCCTGTACAAAAATATATATGGTTTGTAATGTACAAACTTTACGAAAAGTATAATAAATTCAAATAATTAAAAGTTTACTAAGTAAAATACTTAGGTACTTGTTATTAAAGTCCACTATTTAGTACTTTATATTCAAACAACTAACACTAGGTAGGTATATACTTACATATTATCTGCAGCATATATAGCAACCATTCTTTTACAACGAGATGCCATATTTTCAAAAATGTTTAAACTTTTTAGTAAATAAAACAAATGCACTTTACTCTGAGCTTATTCACCACCGCATCAGAAATTGCAGGTTATGTAAAACAACAAACATTCGCGGTTTTTAACGGTTTTTAACGACATCGCTTATCTTCCCGCGTGTTAGAAAAACCGTGCCAAAACGCAGTATCTGGTATATGCTGTGTTTTGGGCCAGCAATTGGAAGATACTGTGTTTTGAGATGGTAAACCAGTATGAAGGGTGTAGATACTGGGTTTGGCACATTTAATATATTAATACCCAGGGCTTTAAATGGTTCCAAACCCTTGCCAAAAGATGCAGATCAACACAGTAACTCCATTTATGCAATAATCTCATTTTTTAAAAAAATGTTGGATTGTGTTTTGGAATGGGGCAGCCGAGCTGGGTACTACGACAGCTACTACTGCTTTTGACATCATGTGTATAAAAAAGGAAACTTTGTTGCCCTCTATAGAGATCTCCTATTGGTCGATTGGACATTTCTACATGGCCTTTCAAATGTTAATACAGCTCTGGGCTTGTTTTATGATAAATTATATAATATTCTTGATCAACACGTCCTAAAGAAGAAACCTTGTCATAAAACATACCCTATCTGGTTTACTGGTCCTTTAATTCACAAGTTAAATTTAAAAAATAAAGCTTGGAAGAAATACAAGAAAACGAACGGTGACGCTGATCTTAATGAATATAGACGCTTGAGGTCTGCTTTTAAGGCTGAAAATATGACTGCCCATATAAACTATATGGCTCATGTCGAAGCTGAACTCAAATCAATTCCAAAAAATTTTTGGTAATTCTACAATTCCAAAAAGAAACACAATTCACTACCAACCAACATGTGTTATAATGGCAACGACTTAGAAACAGAAACCAGTGCCGCTATTGCATCTGCTTTTGCCGAATACTTTAGTGACTCATTTTTAGACAACCCTATAAATGTAAACCAGTCCTCTGTTGAAGTTATTTCACCTAACCATGCATTTATAATGCCCAAGATCTCCGAGGACGACGTAATTGAGTCAATTAAGCGTATCAAGACAAACATGACTATGGGTCCAGACAATGTTCCTGCTTTTCTTGTACGTGATGGATTATTCGTTTTTGCTAAGCCCCTTATAATATTAAAAGGGTAGTTATTAACTGAAAAAATATGAAAAATTATTACAAACTTACCTCAAAATTGGCACCTATATTAAAAGAAGGGAAAACGGACACATAAAATAGTTATATTTACATTTTAAAGGCTGTTCCCACTAGAAAAGTATTATCTAGGTCGGAGACCCTTGGATAATAGCCATAGCAATCCCTCCTTGATTCCTCTTTTTCTGAGTTTGTTGTACGTTTTGTTTCCCATATTAAATAAGTAAGCACTTAATACAACAACACAAATCACAATAAATATCGCTGAAACAAAATTAATAGTAATAAACGGTATAAAACGGGGTGGGTGGCTCAGTGGTAGAGTCTCTGCGGATCCAAGGGTCCCAGGTTCGAATCCCACCGTTGGCCGGGATTTTTTCATTTAATTTAATTATTTAAAATTAATTCTGATGCCTTGGTAGGATTCCCCACTCGACCATTCACTGTTGGGTACTAGTTAACAGTGCTGTTCCTAAAGTGGCGCTCGGAAACAGTAACAAAGCCTACACAGAACACGAGGCTAATAACCGTAGCAGTTGATGATATAAATTTCGTAGAAGAAAAAATCAAAAAATTATCACTTATCAACTCTGACATTAAATGCTTCACTTGTCAAAAACTTCCTCTTCAACCAATGAACGTGCCGATGTTAGACGTGTCAAAATTCAAAACGGTACTAGCGCCATGAGGCCTGTGTCTGGCCGCAGCGTAACTCAAAGCCATTTCTTGAATCCCACTTACATTCAGGGTAGCCAACCTGCCTTTACCGATTTACTCTCAAAAACTTTTCCGGATTACTCACAATTACTCACAACTTCAAAATATCAATAGTTTTTTATATAAATTGTATATTTTGTACTCTTGCACTTTGGTTTGAATTTATTTTACTACCGTGCAATGTTGCCAAACATTAAAAGAGAAATTTTCAGAACATTCAAGAGTCAAAAAGATGCACCTTTTTTTCTGTGCATTCACTATTTTTATAACCAAGTAATATACAGGTTGATTCATAACTATTGAGACATAGGCTAAGGCAGGTTATTTGGACAAAAATATGGCGATAGGACCAAATATACCTTAATAAAATATTGCTGTGGAATAAGATACAGGTCATTAAATTTTTCTGATGTCACTGTATATCTATGAATTGATATCAAAATTGGCACAAAGGCAAATTTTTCGACAAGGAATAATATTTTATGTATTATTTCACATTTTGTTACAGGAGGCGCCACGTGAATGATTAGTGATGAAATTAAGTGGTAGCTTTTTTTACGAAACTTTTTAATATTTTTGATTAGAAAATTTCACCCATTTTCGAGAAAAATGCAATTGAACAACTCACAAAATATTTCATTTATGAAAAGTTTGCTTTGCAGTGTCAAATAATTTGCTGTTAGATAATGGTCTATTATTATTACTATTATTATTATTTAACGCCCTGTATCTTATTCTACAGCAGTATAGTATTAAGGTATGTTTGGCCCTATCGCCATGGTATATTTGGCCCTATCGCCATATTTTGATACAAATAACCTGCCCTTACCCTATGTCCCAATCACCCTGTATATAAAACATCTTTGTCACCAGCTGAACAAAAAACACAGATAAAAAAGATTGGAGAATCAAAGTAGCTTCTTTATTAACGGGCCAAATCATAATAAATCATTATTTCTAATACTTAAAAAAATCTACTAATACAAAAATATACTTTTAAAATGAACAAAAAAAAGATATTAATCGACGATTGGGACAGTCCCAATGGGACTATCACTGTCGACACGAAACCTAGTGTTGAAAATATCAAAATCACTTTTACTCTATTACATTGACCAAGCAATAGAGGACGTTGCAATTTTTTTTTTTTTTTTTTTTTCATTTATGGCCTAGGTGTTTAAAACTATAAAATTGTAATGACTGCTAAAAGTGCTAGGGGGTAAAATAAGGCTTATATTAAAATTTTTAAAAATATTTTGCCTAACTACCATAAATATACCCCCGCTGACTTCCCTATTACTCACATATTACTCACAATTGCCCTTTACTCACAAAATTACTCACAGACTAGTAAATTACTCACAAATGTGAGAAATTACTCACAGATTGGCAACCCTGCTTACATTACTATAGGGGATATATTGTGCTCGTTAGTTAAACATAAACAGACGCACAAAATGCAGCGTACCGGTGCTAATGAAAAGCGTAAGCGCAATATTCTAACTATTGAACAAAAAATGGATGTTTTAAAATGATTTGAAAATAAGATAAGTGTTGCTGTGTTGGCTAAAACATATAACTTTGAAAAACAAATGGTTCGTGACATTGTGAAGAAAAAAGCCGAATTACAGAGCTTTGCAGCTAAAGCTGACAGTGCAAAAGCTATTTTTTAACATAAAATCTCTAAAAGAATCTACATTCCGAGAGCTTGATGATGCTATGACCAGGTGGTTCTTGCAGAAAAGATCAGAAGGTGTTCCAATATCAGGACCTATGTGTGTTAGGCAAGCTCAAAAGTTTCACGAGCAGTTGAAAATTAAAGAAAACTTCTCGGCATCTTCTGGTTGGCTATACAGGTTTAAAAAACGTCATGGAATATGAGAATTAGCTGTTTAAGGGGGAAAATAGAAATTAAGTGCTGATGATGTAGCTATGGTAGAATTTTGATATGATTTGGAAAATCTTATAAAAGAGCACGACCTAAAACCTGTGCAAGTGTATAATGGAGACGAAACTGGACTTTATTGGAAAGCAATGCCAAAAATAACACTTGCTGGAGGCTCACAAACTAATGCACCAGGTTAGCTTTACATACATATTTTTACATAATAAGTAATATTTTTTTTTAGGTTTTATAGTAAGCAAATACCGTTTAACAGTATTTCCTCCGAATGTAACATCTATTGCCCAGCCAATTGACCAAGGTGTTAAAGAGACCATGAAGAGGCTTTATATGAAAGACCTCATGCTTTAACTGCTGGGAGAATGTGACTTTATGGGGTTTTGGAAACGTCTAAATTTGAAATAAGCAATCCTGTAGCTCGCGCTTGAAGTGAAGTAAAAGCGACTAATATTAAAAAAGCATTTTATAAAATAATTACCTCAGATGAAGAAGGTACTGAAGACGATAATGACTTAAATGTAGGTGAGTTATCAATTGAAAATATAACATCTATAGGTTCTCAAATCAAAGATTTTGAAGAAATGGATATCGATTATCTAAATAATCAGACCTCTGCAGAAAGTTCTGACGAAAGTAGTGATGACGATGAGAATAATTGCGTCATCAAAACAAGTCATCGAGAAGCAGGGGATGCAGTAAATGTACTTATCCAATATTTTGAAGAACAGTCTGGAAATGACGACATTCATGTGCTTCAGCTTAGATAAATGAAGGAGATTATAAAGTGTAGAAGTTGCGAATCCCAAAATCAAACAAAAATTAGTGATTTTTTCCAAGTAATACATATAGACATTATTCAATCTACATTTACACATTAGGTATAAATATTAAAACTGTTATTTTTTGTTACGTGTATCTAGTATTACGTTTCTTTTCCTCGTTTGACACATGTATTTGTCTAAATAAAAGATTGAAAAAATAAAAATAAGGTCTTTGGATTATCCGTGTTTACGATTATCTGGCGAAGGCTTGGTCCCGGCTGGCCCGGATAATCGAGGTTCTACTGTACTGTACAACTCGAGTGAATTATCTGGATCCACTCTTGTTGCACAACTTACTATTTATTATCTGACAAATAATGATTTTATATTTGAAAATATAAAAATAAAAAACATTATAAAAGTTTTCTACACTTTTTAGACGT